CCCAGTACCACAAAAGAAAAACAAAAAACAAATTGACCATATTTGTGACAGTTCATTTCTAGGCATTCTATTCTATTCTATTCTATTCTATTCTATTCTATTCTATTCTATTCACCTACATTCTATCCTTATGCCAATACCACAGTGTTTTAATTACTGTAGCTTTGGAGTACATTTTTGAATTTGGGATGTGTGAGTCTTCCATTTTTATTCTTCTTTTTCAAGATTGTTTTGGCTCTTCAGGGCTCCTTGTAATTCTGTATGAATTTGAGGATTGGCTTTTTCATTTATGTAAAAGAGTCTATTGGACTTTTGATAGGGATTATGTTGAATCTGTAGTTCCATTTATGTAGTATTGACATGTTTTTAGGGAAAGGTACTGGGAATCAAACCCAGGGGTACTGTGCCACTGAGCTACATCCCCAGCTCTTTTTTTTTTTTTGGTGCCAGGGATTGAACTTGGGACCTTCCCCTTGAGAGGCAGGCGGTGGCACCACTGAGCTAAATCCCCTGCTATCCCCCAGCTCTTTTTAGTTTTTATTTTGAGCTCAGTCTTGCTAGGTTGCCCAGGCAGTACTTGGACTTGTGATCCTCTTGCCTCATCCTCCCAAAGCACTGGGATTATATTCACCACCATGCCCAGCTGTGATAACTTTACAGTGTTATCTTTAACCAGTGGTGGTGCACTCCTGTAATCCCAGCACTCAGAAGGTTGAGGTAGGAGGATAACTGTGAGTTCAAGGTCAGCTTGGATTACATAGGGAGACCCTGTCTCAAAAAAATTAAATTAAATAAAAATTTTAAAATGGAATATTATCTTTGAACAGGGGATGTCTTTTTATTGATTTAGGCCTTCTTTAATTTCAGGAACATTTTGTTATTTTCAACATACAAGTCTTTCACTTTCCTTGGTTAGATTTATTCCTAAGTATTTAATTCTTTCAGAGGCTGTTGTTAAGTGGCATTGCTATCTTAATTTCCTTTCTGGATTTTTCATTAATGATGTATAGGAACACAACTGATAATTCCCTTATTTGGGGGAAGGAAGAAATGGAAGCTTAACATACTTTGCTCAGTGATGCTTGGCTAGTAAGGCCTAACCCAGTCTCTAACTCCAAATCTATTGTGTAGCCCCTCTGTGGCTGCTTATCTAGCCCCTTTCCCATTTTCTTTTTCCCTTTGACTCAATGATCTTAGTTGCAAAACAATAAATACTTAAAAAGGAAAGGACTACAGCCCTGCCACAATTATACTCTAGATTCTGGCCAGTGTGGCATCTGAAATATTAGAAGGCACCAGAGTCTCAAGGATACTCATGGTGCTCCGGTAGACACTTCCACATCAGTCCTCTTGGAGCAGAGGGCCCAAAGACAAATAACAAAGAGTCAATAATAAATGTGTGACCTCAAAATTCCAAGATGTTTGATGAGAATGACTCAGTAATCAAGAAGCTACTTGTGGCAAATCAAGTACAATAACGCCTTGTCAACATCGATGAATTCTTATGGTCCTGACAAAGGTCTGTGTTATGACATGTAGACAGGGTTAGGAGTCTTCAGAAACTGTGCAGAGGGTGGCTCTGGCTCAGGAGAGGAATATTTGCAACGCTCCATCAGCTTGGAGACCAGAAGTATGTCAAGTCACACTGGGAAGTCTCTTACAGATGTTGACGGGGACCACCAGGAAAGTCTGTCTTCCCTAGTACCCACTGAATGCTCTCCTCCCAAACCTGCTGTCAGACAAGATTCTTAAACTTCTACTTCCTTCTGTGTCTGGGGAACAGCACGTTTGTCTTTCTACCTCCAAGGGGGATCTGGGCTGGTAGCTATGGATGACACTGAGAAATTTCTCAGTCTGCCTTCCTGCAAGCCTTTGCTAGGCCAGTGGAATTCCCAAAAAAGAAATCCAAAAGGCTGGTGAATAGGACCACATGGGTACATGCACAAACACATATGCACACACACACAGACACACATACACGCAAACCCACGGAATTGAGAAATTAGAATGCATTACTCCTTACACTACGTCCCCTCCCTCCAAGAGAAGAGAATTCTGGCTGAAGAACCATCTTAGGATCTTTTCAATTCCTCTATCTCCATGAAAAGGAGTGTACTGTATTCTAACAATATGAATCTTCCTCATACATCTCAAGAAATCCCAGGCAAGGAAGGAATGGTAGAACCTTCATATTTGAAGAACTATGTGTTAATGTTTTTAGGCAGAGATCAAGGGCTGCCTCATCACATGTGTAGGTTTCTCCCTAATACATGGAATTCTGGGTACTCTGTGACAAGGTGCCATAGGGCTTGCAAGCTTCCACAGTAGCTACTAGGAAGAAAAAAAGTGGAAAAGGTTCACAAAATAAAGTGTCAGTATGATTTCAGCCTCCAAGGAAACTTCCTCTGTGGTTCAGACACAGGCATATTATAACAGCCATTTCGTTTCTATCACAGAAAGAAAATCTAAAGTAGGTTATGATGTTTAAAATTATTTTTCCAGTGGGAATAACATGCTCTGATGGCATAGTCTACTTCTACTTCTTCCATAAATCATCAGCAACTTCCCTCAAAACAGTCCTTTGAGGGTCAGGGATTTAGCTCAGTGGTTCTGCCGCCTGCCTCGAAAGCAGAAGGACCCGAATTTGATCCCTGGTACCAAAAAAAAACCCAACTATGAAGGCCAAGAGGCTAGAGGCAAAGGACTGCTTTGCCTCTAGCCTCTTGGCCTTCATACTATTTTTTATGGTACCGGGGATCAAACTCAGATCCTTGCACTTGCAAGGCAGGTGGCAGCCTTCATACCATTTTTACATCACCTTGTTAGTTATGAATAACATCACTCCAGTGATGAAAAAATTGTTTCCTATTGCAAGTAGAATTAAGCTTTAATGTCTCTGTGTGACATTTGCAGCTTCCTCCCAATCAGTTTCCTTCCTTAACTTATCCTCTACTACGTCCTGACTGCCAAGCTATCCATGCTCTGTGCCATGATCATAGTTTCCCCTACATGTAATGCAGGCCTTACTCATCTTACTTTTCTGACTCCTGTTCACATTCACTCCTAAGTTTGAATCCCACTCCTCTCCTGTCCACACTGATGTCTTTTGCTGAATGTTGGACAAAGCCACTGGGTTCTTGGTTTGGTGCAGATGCTGGAAGATGCTAAAAATTCAGATAGCACACTCACTGCATACCTCATTCTGGTAGTTAATCAAGTGATTAATTTGCATATCTAATTGAATTAGATGCTTTGTGGATAAAAAGAGAAAAAGGTCTGCTTTGTCATGATACCGCATATGTTTCTTGAGGACAAGCCTTGTCTCCACAGTAAAATGCAAATTCTCAAGTTCTTCGGAATGTGGCTACAAGTGCATCCTAGGATGTCAGAAAGACTTCTTGACTTGCATTGAATTAAATCTTCACTCCCCACTCCCTCTCCTGAGTTCTCCTCTGGAGCTCAGGTACCAATTAAGAACGGTAGCGGTAGCTGAAGTGTAACAGCTAATTTGCTCCTAAACATCAAAGGTTTACAGAAACACTGTAGTCCACTTCAGCGAGGCTATGAACCAGTCTTCCAGAAGAAAAAGAATGCCACCCCTGTGAGCTCTTCAGTAACGCGCGGTAAAAGCTGCTGGAGGGTACTGTAGTCCACTCTCCTGGCCGGCCCTTCGGAAGGGTGAAATCCAGGGCGGTGATTGAAAACGAGGCGCACAAAAGACTGAGGAAAGCAAAAGGCGCAAAATGGGGAAGGAAGCCGCAGAACTCTCCTTCAGCTCAGGAGCGATAAGAGCCATCGAAGGAGGACTGGCTTCCTTTGGACTTACAGCCAAAGACGCGCCAGGGCCAGTTGGTGAAAATCAGACTTCAGACTTCACACGTTTGTAGCAATAAAGGCTGATGTTGAGACGCTGGATTCCAGACACCTGACGCCACAGGTGACAGCAGCTGGGAAAGCTGCCTTGAGTGACTCTGAGGTCATCTCCCATACAGGTCCCAAGACAGTTGGATTTGCAGAAGTGGGAACCCCATGCCTAGACTCCTCTCTATGGGGGTCCGGGATAAGTTGAAAGATCTAACCCAAACCAGAAAAGACTGGCCAGTGCTGGGGAACTGGGCAGGGATGGGGTGGAACTCTCGATGACTTCAGGCATCCTTTGTATTCCCACCCTAAACCTGGAGAAAAGTCCTCTCCCATAAATGCCCAGATCAAACGATCCTCACACCGGTCATGGTGCCTGCTAACTCTGGTTGCAGCTCTGGGCCACGACTTCGCCCACCTTTTTCCCCTGGCTGTGGGCGGCGGCAGGGGTGGGTGGGTGGGGTGGGTGGGTGTGTGTGTCCTCCCCCAAGCCCGGGGCCCTCCGGCGCCTGGGCGGTAGAAGCTCGCGCTCCTCCTCTCCGGCCTCCGCTCCCCTCCTTCTCTCCCAAGCCCAGTCCCTCCCCTAGCCTTGGCGGAGGGGGGCCGGGCTTGGCTCTGTACCGCTCGTGCATTCCAGAGAGCGGGGCCAGCGAGAGCAACAAAGGAGCCGGGCAGTCGGCGGGGAGAGCACTAGGGGGCTGTGGCTCGCGCGAAGGTGGCTGCAGAGCCGCGGGCTGGCGCGGGGGCGGAGCCGGGGCCGCGGTCCCGGTCCCGCACCTCCGGCCGGCGTCTGCCCTCCGTCGCGGGGCCGGGAGCTGGGTTTAATGGTGGGAGAGGGAATGGGGCTAGGGCTTGGGGGCCAAGGGGGCTCTTGGGGCTAAAGACAACTTGGATTGTCAGGCAAGGGAGTGGGGAGTTGTGCATCCCGGCCCGGGCCTCTCCGCCGCCCAACATGGGCCCCGGGTCCCAAAGTTTGCAAAGTTGGGAGCTGAGGGGCCCGGGCGCGCGGAGCGTCCGAGGGAAGTCGGCCCCAGACCCGCGGAGCGCACAGGTTGCCTGAGCCCTGGGTCGGGCCCCGGGGTTGCGAGCGCGGCCGGCGGCTCCGGGGGACGGGCGGGGGCGCCCGGGCGTCTGCTGAGTTGGCGGGTTTGGCCATGGCCGCTGCCCGACCTGCACGGGGGCCCGAGCTGCCTTTCCTGGGGCTGCTGCTGCTGGTGCTGGGCGTCCCGGGCCGGGGGGCGGCCTTGAGCGGGAACGCTACAGGGCCTGGGCCTCGGGGCGCCGGCGGGAGCGCCAGGAGGAGCGCGGCGGGGACCGGCCCTCCGCCGCTGCTGAGCCACTGTGGCCGGGCCGCCCCCTGCGAGCCGCTGCGCTACAACGTGTGCCTGGGCTCGGCGCTGCCCTACGGCGCCACCTCCACGCTGCTGGCTGGAGACTCCGACTCCCAGGAAGAAGCTCATGGCAAGCTCGTGCTCTGGTCCGGTAAGCGCACCCAAGCCGGGCCTGGGGGTGTGGGAGCGTGGGCTGGTGGGATGCGGGCACTGTTACGAGGTTGGGCTCAGGCTGAGCTTCGGAGAGGCGGGGGCCGCACCCGGGAGAGGTGGAGAACCGAGTCTGAACTTTGGGGGGGGGGGGGGGGGCTGTTTACGTGCAGAAGGGGACACTCCGTGCTGGGGACGGGAGGGCGAGGAAATTGAGGAAGCCAGTCACAAAGGGCCCAGGCAGGGGTGAGAAAGAGCTGGGGCGGGGGTGGTGGTGAGGAGGGGGCTCTGAGCCTCAGAAAAGGACAGGTTTTAGGGAGAGGAGCCGCTCCACCTACTCTGGAAGCCGGGAATGGTAATTCAAGAATGTTCAGACCTCGGGGAAATGGGGTTTGGAGAGGAAAATGGGAAAGATGAGGTGGAAGGGATTTAGGCATTTGGAGGGAAAAGGTGGGAACAAATTTGTGAAGCAAAAGACTGTGGTGATGAATAATTAAAAGGTAACCAGAACTATCTGGAAATCTTGATTTGGGAGATAAGTAGTCCAAAGAACTGTAATTTTTGCCTTGCTCTCACAGGTTCCTTGTTTGGAAAGTGAGAACTCTGATCCACACTGAGGGGGTTGGAAGGAAAAAGATAATTCTAACAATTTCTCGTGTATTTGAAAATTTGGATCCTCAGGCTGATCAGGGCTGTGGAATAACACTGAAGCCTTCCACATGGTTTGAAGCTCCAGAGCCCTCTCCTTGGGGTGGGATTATGGTAGAGCCTGAAAGCTGCAGACTGAACCCAAATAAGTCTTTCCTTAGTAGTGTAGAGTAAATAAATAATCTCTCACCTGTCACTCTTCTGGGCTAGAGGCCTGGAGGGTGCTGGGGAAGGGAACTGATCTTGTCATCCCTTACTTCCATGCAATATGATTCAGACACTGCCCTTAATAGGGCCAGGGATTTAGCTCAGTGCTTCGCTGCCTGCCTTGCAAGCACAAGGACTCTAGTTCAATCCCCGGTACCGAAAAAAAAAAAAAGGCCGGGGATTTAGCTCAGTGGTGCTGCGCTTGCCTTGCCAGTGCAAGGTCCAGAGTTTGATCCCCGGTTCCAAAAAATAAAAATAAAACCCCCTAAAACTGTCCTAAACTGAAAAAAAAAAGAACATCGGGAGCCAGGAGCAAACCTGAAAGCCCCCTTTTTTGACAGGCCAGAGGTGCTCCATGTCTTAGCTCTGCTCTCCATTCTAATGGGGCCAGTTTGTAGGCTGTCGTTGTCAACTTGGCCACTGGAGTTCTCAGCTTTTGCTGAATGTTGGACAAGGCCATAGGGTTCCTGGCTTGGTGCAGATGCTGGAGGAGAAACTTGGAGATGGTATCTATGAGGTGGAGCTGCATCCTATGTGGGGATCAAGTTCTACAGTCAGCACAGAAGACAGAAGCCATGTGTAACCAATAGTAGCTTTGAAAAATCCATAAGTTACTATAATGCAGTGATGAAACTTTTAGAGACCAAGTGCCCAAATTGCAACACAAAACCCACTTATTTATTGCAAAGTACCAACTCTGCAATTAAACCTGAATACTGAGGTTTTAGTTTAGAACAAACAGCTATTATCCAATGCTTAGCTGCTAGGGTGACTTGGCTCGCATAGGGACAGAGAGGGCTCTGAGTGCTGCTATGGCACACGGGCCATAGGTTTTCATCACTGCTGTTAGTTACCATCAGATCAAGGAGGAAGGGGATGGATCTCTTTCCAACCTCTACTCCTGTGAGCAGCTGCTGAGGTAGCAGAAATGGTTTTGGCAGGAAGGTGCATGAGTTAGAACCATCTGTGGGCTGTGCAGGTTCAAACCTCACAAGTTCAAACCTTCTGCAAAGCTGTGAGCACTGAGCCCAGGACTACTCTTATCATGGAGTATATGTACCGAGTCACATAGAGCTTACATTATTGTAACTTACAGATTTTTCAGAGCTACTGTTAGTTACACATGGCTTCTGTCTTTGTGCTGACTTTAGAACCTGATGCCTATAAGATGCAGCTCTGCCTCATGGATACCATCTCCAAGTTCTTCCTCTAGCACTCTGAGGTCTTCTTTTTGCTGTCCACCAACTCTCACCTTAGTCCTGTACCCTTGTGTGTTTGGTCACACTCTTTCTGCTTTGGTCTTGCTGCTTGGTGTTCTATGAAGTGTTGATATGAGCTGGGTCAACATGTGGGAAGAGTGAACAAAAGCCACTTATGAGAATCACAGCCAGGTCTTTAGTTGGGAGCCCGTAACTAGTGGTTTGTTGTTTCCTGAGTTGGTGGTCTTGATTTGGTATTAGACATGGTCACTATCACTGAGCTCTTGAAGGTGGTTTTGTTTGTGAAGGTTGAAGATGGCCTAGGTTATCTTCATCTGTAAACTTTCAAGGGTAGAGACTTGGTCTTCATTTTTCCCCCCAGAGCCTCAGAGTGCTGAGTATACAGCCAACTCATTCATTCAATTAGGTATTGAGCACTTCTGTTTGTCATATCTTGGGACAAGTTCTGGGACATAGAAAGATATGAATACAAATATGATCCCTTCACTGTCAAGAGGAAGACAGACAATTAAGCAAGCTTTAGCAAAACATTTGGAAAGTATTGTGAAATTGTAGGTGCTGCAGGAATGCAAAGGGTTTTGGGGAGCAAGAGCAGATCCCCAGAGGAACTGACATTTAACCCATATCTTGAGAAATAAGCAGAAATTACCAAGGGATAGTTGGGGCAGGGAGGAATAGAAAGAGCAAGTAAAGAGCATGTACTAAGATTTAGAGGTAAGAGAGCTTGGTACTTAAGATATACGAAAAGCCATGCATAGTAGTGCATAGTGGGAGGCTGAGGCAGCAAGATCGTGAGTTCAAGCTCAGTCTTGATTCTTCTGAAAATAAAAACCAAATTTAAAAAAAGAAAAAAGGCTGAGATGTAGCTCATTGTGAAGGTCCTGGGTTCAATCCGTAGTACCAATAAACAAACATAAAAATTTAAAATAAAAGAAATATAATAATAGCAGTAGAACTGAATCAAATATGTGAAGGGTAGAATTGTAACAGATAACATTTGAATTATAAAGTAAAGGAATTCATACCCCATATTAAGTTTGGATGTTACCAGAAGATGATAAGGAGCCATTGAAGGCTTTTAAGCAAGGGAGAGATGTAATTACATTTGCATTTTTGAAAGATCTTTTTGGATGTGGTATGAAGAAACTACCAGCATAGGGGAAGTTGGGAGCCTGCTTGCTTGATCATGGCATGGTGGAAGTGGTCCAAGTGGCAGATTGTGTAGTCAGGACTGGGGTAACAGCATGAAGGGTTGGACAGATCCCCGAGTATTAAAGGTAGAATCAGCAGGACTTACTGATGTGTTGGAAGTGGAGCATGAATGAGCAGGAGGACCCAGGCTTGAGGCTTGTGTGAAAGGTGGTATCATTCCTTTCAACTAGGACAGAGAATGGTAATGGAGCAATAGGTTTAGTTTCAGTTTGAATTTGAGGCACTCAGTGGACATCTATGTGGAAATTCCCAGCAGATCTGAAAATAGGAGTTGCTGTAGAGAGGTAGCCACTGGGTGCTTCCTTGGCCCAGGTTGCTGAGGCTTTAGAAGGGTGCCATGAGTGAGGAAGTTTATAGCTCCGATTGGTCCATTTTCTAGGACTGTATAGAGCTCAGGTTTTTCTTATGGTTTTCAACTCTCTGGACTTGGGCTTCTTCAATCATTTAGCATCTCTCCCCATTACAAGCTAGAAATGTCTCCCAGGCATTTTGGGCAGACCAGACAAACATAAGGTCCAGGCCATGGTGTACCTTAGGCCAAATCTGGTTTAGGAAATAGGACGAGAAAGCAAGAAAGAGAGGCCGCAGCTGGCAAAGGAATAGGTCCCTGAGAGTCAGCACGTAAACTCCTGGACCACTGGTGTGTGTGTGTGTGTATGTGTGTGTGTGTGTGTGTGTACGTGTGTGTACATGTGTGTGTGGCCCTGTCACCCTGCTGGGACACAGCCAGCAGGAAAGAGACAGGAAAGCTAGGAGGAATTACTCATTTGCCTCTCTGACTTCCAATTCAGAGGTGAGAGGAGGGATGTTGTTGGTGATGGTGGGTAACTGGCGGGAACAGATCAGGAAGAATTTCCTTAGAGCTGTTCCCAAACCTGGCTGATGATTAGAATCAGCTGAAAAATAGAAAAATGGGATTTAGCTCAGTGTTTTCGCCACCTGCTGTGCAAGCAGAAGGACCCGAGTTTGATCCCTGGTACAAAAAATAATAATAATAAAAATAAATAAATAAATAAATAATAAAAACAGAAAAACACCCAAAGGCCCAAGTTTTCCTTTTTGATTGTGAAATATAACAGGTATTCAGAAAAGTGCATAAACACACAGGTACTGAAGAACAAATGATTATAGAATGACACATGGGTCAAAAACTTACCCAGTCATCTCTCTCTCCACCTTCTCTAGAGGGAGCCACTATTTTGAGGCTTTTGGTCATCATTTCCTTTTTGTTTTCCTGTATAGTTTTACCTCCCAGCTTTGGAACGCCTAAACAATGCATTTTAAAAAATAGTATATTTTTGTTTTACAAGTTTTTGAACTTAATACAAAAGGATCTGTGTGTATTCTTTTGCATCTTGCTTCTTTTACACTACTTTAGTGATAAAATTCATCCGTGTTATTGCAGCTCTTTTGCATTACTAAATAGTATTCCATTGAGTGCATGTATTATAATTTGTTGTTTATTCATTCTGTTGTTGTTAAATCTTAAAGTTGTCACCAGCTTTTTCCCACTATGAATAATGTTGCTATGAGTACTCTTTTGTGCCTATCCTGGTGTACCTGGCACAAGTTTTTTTTTTTAATTTAAAAATTTATTTTTATTAGTACGTGTTTGCAGTACATAATGATTGCATTCGTCATGGGGAATTGGTACATGTGCATAACACATCTTAATTCTTTTTATATCCTCTTCCCCTCCCTCCCTTCCTTCTCC